AAGGGTTTGGACAGCAATAAGACAAGGGCTAATTAATCAACAGAAATCGAGAGTAAATAAACATCAGAGGGCAGAACCAGATAGGATGACCAAAGTACATGCAAACAGTCTGCAGGGAGGGGAGCTGTTGGTTAGTCACACAGCCTCAGAAAAGGTCACAGGAAACACAGGACAGGCAGAGCTGGAGGGAGGACAGACAGGTACCCAGAGCTGGCAGAAGAGGGAGGGTTCACACTATATAAACCACATACTCGTCAATAGTCACTGTACTGTGTGTCTCAAAAGTTGCCCCTAAAGTCACCATACGTTGAGAAAATGGGAAATTACAGCTAAATGTACCTTCATTTACAAAAAAGTAGCCAATGCGTAGCGAATATTTTATAAAATTTTCTAAGGAATATTTTGTAAATAAAGGTATATTTAGCTATAATTATCCGTGGTTTCTTTCTGAGAAATTGATTTAGTGTGTCTAGCAGCCTTTATGGTTAAACACCACAGCAGGGAAAAAGAGGAACATTCTGTCCTGGGATCATGTTTTCGTTTTAAGATGCTCAATGCCAAGTATATCTTTCAAGAGTCCAAAAAAAAGTTACTCTTGAAGCCCCTGAGGGAATCTTTTGTGGTTTTCGTTTTTTGGGTTTTTTTGCTACAGAGATGGGGTCTCATTCTGTCACCCTGGCAGTGGCACGTATGATAATAGTTCATGGTAGCTACAAACTCCTGGGCCTTGGTGACCCTCTGCCTTAGATTACTCAGTAGCTGGAACCTATATGCCCAGCCCCCCATAAGAATCTCTTGTCTGGTGATGTATCGATTTTTATATAGATGAGCTAGCTACATTCCACAGAAAATTTGGGAGGCCATGTGACACAGTGGAAAGTGCATAAGCTTTATTTTTTTGAGCTGGAGAGTTTATTTATTTATTAAATCATAGCTGTGTACATTCATGCAATCATGGGGTACAATGTGCTGGTTTTACATACAATTTGAAATGCTTTCGTCAAACTGGTCAACATAGCCTTCACAGCATTTTCTTAGCGTGCATAAGTTTTAGTGTCTGACCAACCTAGTTGGAAGTTCAGCTTTACCGCTTATCAACTGTGTGACTTCATATGAATTATCTAAACTGTCTAAGTCTTGGTATCCTCCTTATGAAATGGAGATAGTGTCTATCAGAAAGAGTTGTTGTGAAGGTTAAATGAGATAAATCTCACCATGCCTGATACATCGAAGCTAATGGCATTTGATAAGTGGTTTATTCTCTTCCCTATCCGCAGATCTTTGATGGACAGAGCCATAACTTGTTTCTTCTTGTGATGTTCCCTCCACCTAGCAACTTACTTGGACTTTTTTTTTTAGAGACAGAGTCTCACTTTATTGCCCTCGGTAGAATGTCGTAGCATCACAGCTCACAGCAACCTCCAACTCTTGGGCTTAGGTGATTCTCTTGCCTCAGCCTCCCGAATAGTTGGGACTACGGGTGCCCGCCACAATGCCCAGCTATTTTTTGTTGCAGTTTGGCTGGGGCTGGGTTTGAATTCACCACCCTAGGTATATGGGGCCAGTGCCCTACTCACTGAGCCACAGGCGCTGCCCTTACTTGGACTTTTTAGACATACTTGACTGCTCTCTCTCTCTCTTTTTTTTTTTTTAGTGATAGAATCTTATTTTGTTGCCCTCAATAGAGTACCATACTGTCACAGCTCACAGTAACCTCCAGCTCTTGGGCTTAGATGATTCTCTTGCCTCAGCCTCCTGAGTAGCTGGGACTACAGGCGCCTGCCACAATGCCTAGCTATATTTCTGTTGTTGTTGCAGTTTGGCTAGGACCGGGTTTGAACCCACCACCCTTGGTATATGGGTTGGGTACCCTACTCACTGAGCCACAGGTGCCACCTTTGACTGCTCTCTTAATCCTAGGTGTTCTTAAAAGAACATAGAGAAATTTGTAATTACAATATGGTAGGCAGAATAAATGCCCCCCCCCCCAACCATCCATGTCCTAATCTCTAAAACCTGTGAATTTATCACCAGTTCACAGTCTGGGGGGTGGGACCTGCTGCTGTGGAAGCTGGGAAAGGCTAGGAAATACATTCTTTCCTATAGCTTCCAGAAAAGAATGAAGCCCTGCTGATACCTTACTGTTAGCCCAGGGAGGTCTGTGTGGACGTTACAGAACTACATGATAATAACTTTGCGTTGTTTACATCACTAAGTATGTAGCAATTCATTACAACAGCAATAGAATACTAATATGCAGGCTAGGCATGATGGCTCACACCTGTAATCCCAGCACTCTGGGAAGCCGAGGCAGGTGGATTGCCTGAGCTCAGGCATTGAGACCAGCCTGAGGAGGAGTGAGACCCCGTTTCTAAAAATAGCCAGGTATTGTGGCGGGCGCCTGTAGTCCCAGCTACTCAGGAGGCTGAGGCAAGAGAATTGCTTGAGTCAAAGAGTTTGAGGTTGCTATGAGGTATGACACCACAGCACTCTACCCAGGGTGACGAAGTGAGACTCTGTCTCCAAAAAAAAAAAAAAAAAAAAAAATACTAATAGATAGAGGGTGCCAAAACAATGTATGCACGTTTTAAGAAAGGAAAAAAACTGTATTATAATTGTAATACTCGTATATACTGATAACATCTGCTATCACCTATATATCTTATAATTGCAGAATCAAATATGACTTGAATATTACAATTTTAATACATTTTTTCCCTTTCTATAGGCTGGGAACAGGGGTCAAGATTGAGGGGGTAATTGAGAGTATGGCTGTCTAATTAACCAACTGATGACTTATAATAATCAAGCAATAAGTGAATGATGATATGGTAGAAATGATCTATCTTCCTGATATTTTTCTTCTTCTTTTTTTTTTTTTTTTGAGACAGAGTCTAAAGCTGTCCCCCTGGGTAGAGTGCCGTGGCATCACAGCTCACAGCAACCTCCAACTCCTGGGCTCAAGCCAGTCTCCTGCCTCCGCCTCCCAAGTAGCTGGGACCACAGGCGCCTGCCACAACGCCCGGCTATTTTTTGATTGCAGCCACCATTGTTTGTTTGGCGGGCCGGGCTGGATTCGAACCTGCCACCTTGGGTGTACATGGCTGGTGCCTTAGCCACTTGAGCCACAGGGGCAGAGCCTGATATTTTTCTTCTAATCTTCAATTTAAAGTGCAGATGTGGCCCAGCAAATTTGCTTGCTCTTACTCAAGAGAGTTGAGAGAATTTTCTTAAAGTGTGTGGTAATGAATAAGGTATGTATGGCAGGGGTTCTATATTGAGCCTAAGCTGTGTCCCCATTCTGAATTCAGTCACGTACAGACATCTCCATAAGGCTGGCTAGCATTCTCGTCGTAGAAAGGAGTAATGTACTCCACGGCATACTTAGTAATTCCTCAGGGCTTGTGTGTTGTCCCTAAGGCTCCCCAAAACCGAGGCTCTCAGGAAGTGGCAATTCCTTCAAGTTCCCTTTAGTAATAAATGGTTTATTGTAAAGATCCATATTCATGGAAACCCAGGGAAGGATGAGCAACCAGGATCAGGAAGAACAGGATTAAGAGGGTAGCTGTGGATTCAAGGCAGTTCCAAGGTCTCAGCCACAGATTTTGTAAACCTTTACTCTTCTGTGAGTGACTCAGCCACTGCCTTTGTGTCTGCCACACTCTCTTACTCACTACTGCCTGGCGCTGATATCATCTACTTTGTGTGTCTTTTCTGCATCATAGGTTCTGCTTACTCATAACTTGGCTCACTCAGAACTTGACTTAGTCAAATCTTTGATTCATTCAGGGCTTCTCCTGACTTCTCCAACGTCTCTTGACCCCACAGCCTTTCAGCTTTATTCATGCATTTGTTCAGTATTTGTAAAGTACCTACTGAGTACCTACAATGTGCCCCCATGCAGTTTATTCTCTAGATGTCAATCAAATAATTACAAAAGTGCTCCAGGCACGTTCTGATTGGCTCAGCTTATTAGGATCAGTTGCTGGACGTGCTGTGAACTGGCTGCCTTCAGGAGCAGCAGCAACAGGCCGTCCTGTTTAATACCACGTGGCCCTGCCCTTCCCCCAAAGTCCAGACAGAGCTGATTAAGCTAGGGATTGGCATTTGACCAAGGACAATTAATACATTGGCTGGCCAGCAACCTGCAGTTTAAGTCAAATTAATAAGCTTCCCTTGGAAGGAAGAAATTACACTGTAGCAGACACTGTATAGAATTGACATGTTTACCACAGGCGGATAAGCCTTGTACTCCAGTGCAACAATCTAAATGTAAGGACTTCATCCATAGGGAACAGTCTCATTTGTACAAAAGAAAAGTTAGAAAGCATTCACTTGATTCAGGAGCTCTGAAAGGGAGCAGGGCAGAAAGCAGGGGTGGTTGTGAATACAGCACAGGACTGTGTTTAGTGGTTAAGTGACAGCCAGAGTGAGGCTTGGGGAAAGTGTGCCAAGTTCCTTGCAGGAAAGTATCATAGCCCTAGATAGGGTAAAACAGTGATAGTTTGCATGAGGTTTGCTTCTCAGGGATTCCCTGGGACACTTGGGTCCTTAGTGTGGACCCAAGTGCATAGATTTCAACACAGCACTGGCTCTTAAGCCAGACTCTGGATCATCATGTTTACCTCGGTGAGGCGTTCTCCAGAAGCCATGGGATTTTATCAAAGCCCTAAAAAGGCGTCATGGCACAATGACAGCACGAGACAGCGTTCCCCTGCCGAACCCCATAGATAAGAGTTTCTATGGAGAAGGTCAGATTGAAGGGCAGCCCGTTACACTGTTGATTGTGGCTTGGCGACAAAGTGGGCATGGCTCAGTTAGCTGTAAGTTCTATGTTGTGTTACTGGTGGGGCTGGAAAGGAGGTAAATCCCCAGGGAGGCTGGATAACAGCGTTCTCTAGGTGGCAGGTTGAGTAAAGGGCTGGTAGCTCCTGGGAGGCTGTGTCTTCTGGGTTTCCGAACAAGATATTAGCAATTTGTTCTATTGTCTGAAGACAGGCTTTATTTTGAAATGAAAACACACAGAGAACTAAGTTTCCTCTGGGACTATCTGGTAGTGTGCCCCCAGCTTGACTTGGAAAGAAGTATTTGGTGTTGGTCCAGGGTTACTTAGGTGGTGATTTGTGTGGACCTTAGTCACAGTCTCGGAACACAGGAGCAGGAATCCAGAAGCTACAGATCCGCCAGGAACGGGAGAACCCTGATGAGCAAACTGGATGTGTGAGCACTCACTGTGAAAGTCCGGGGGTCGGGAGGGACAGCACCAAGGATACCTCAATCTGTGGGAGAAACTCCAGCTGCTACAGACCACGGGCAGCCCTGGTCCCCACTTTGTGGTGTCCTTTAGGGACTGTCTGGTTCAGCCTTCCCATGCTATTGGTATAAACGCCAAAGCCCAGAGAAGCCAACTAACCTTGTCTACTTCAATTAATGGTAGAAGCAAGAATAGGAATTTCAGGATGACCTCCCTCTTACATGAGGTCTGGCAGGAAATGATCATGCTCAGAGCTGAAAAGCAGGCAATGCCTTTTCAGGAACCATCACGTTGACATGCATGCTGAGAATCCCTGCGTTCAGCAGTTCCCCAGCAGGTAGTGATGGTGTGGATAACACTGTCCTGGATTCTCTGTAATGACTGGTGAATGACATCATTTAATTATCGAGTTGACATCATTTAATTATCGAGTTGGGTGGGCCAGAAACTTCAGTGGCCCTTCACCCCCAACCCACATCCATTCCATCACTGAGTCTGGTCCATACCACCTTTTAGATGCTTTTTTCCCCCCTCTGTAACTACTTCTTCTCTTGTTTGGACATCTGAGACAGTTTTCTAATGGTCTGCCCACATTTCCTCTGCCTCCAATCTACTTTTCTTTTCTTTTCTTTTTTGAGACAGAGTCTTATTATGTCACCCTCGGTAGAATGCCACGGCGTCACAGCTCACAGCAACCTCCAACTCTTGGGCTTAAGCGATTCTCTTGCCTCAGTCTTCCAAGTAGCTGGGACTCCAGGCGCCTGCTACTACACCCTGTTTTTTCTGTTGTTGTTATTGTCATGGTTGTTTAGCAGGCCCAGGCCAGGTTTGAACCTGCCATCCCCGGTGTATGTGGCCACCAATCTACTTTTCTTATAGCAGTTTTCCCCTTACAGCCTTTTTAAAAAAAAATTAATAGACTATTTTTAGAGCAGTTTTATAGGATTATAGAAAACTGAGCGCATAGTACAGGAGAGTTCTCTTAACCCATGTCCTATAGGCTTCCCCTATTTTGAAAATTATTTATTTATTTACTTTTGCTCCGATGTCCCCTATTATTAATATCTTGCATTAGTGTGGTACATGCGTTACAGCTGATGAACTGATACTGATACTTCGTTATTAACTCAAGTCCATGTTTACATGAGGGTTAACTCTTGCATAATTCTGCTCTGACAAATGGATACTGTCGTGCATCCACCATTACAGTATCATACAGAAGAGTTTCACCACCCTAAACATCTCCTGCTCTAGCTGGTCCTTCCTTGCCAGTGGCCTTTTTAAAACGCAGAGCTTCTCCTTTCTCCCTCCTCCCTCAGGCTCACCTGGTTCCACTTTCTACCTTTCTGTCTCCAACGACTCTTCGGCTTTGTGTCTTTCTGTTTCAGTTCCTCAAGCCACACTCCCTTCTGCCTCCAAGTTTTGCTCTTGCTGTTTCTTCTTCCTGAACGGCCCGCCCCCTTCTGCCTCCTGGCCCCACCCTCAGGTCTCATCACAGTTTGCAAATACGATTCGTGTGTCATTATTGGATTCGTGTCCTATCTAGACTATGAGCTCCTCACTAGCAAAGCTGCCCGTGTATCCACAGTACCTGGCATGTAGTAGTTGTGTAATAAATATCTGTTGACTAATATTGATAATGAAATCAATAAGGGAACAGAGCAACAGGCCAGAGTTTCACCTGATTGTGTGGAGCTTGGGAAGAGTACTGAAAGTTTGCAGTGATTGCTAGGGGAATGGAAGGGAGAGCTGATGGGAAACAAGTAAACAGGATTATTCAAAAGGCTGACAGCACAAGTGAAAATTTGTGGAGGTTTGAACCCATCAGGTTATGTTAGAGGAGAGGGCTGGATGGGTGGTTACAATGATGGAGAGTTTAAGATTTCCAGGCTGGAACTGTTCCAACAGGAACAAAGTACAGGGTGTGGTTACGGGAGTGCACTGAAGAGAATTGGAAGTGAAGATCCTGAGTGTGAAAGATCAAGGGACTAAGAAACTGGGCCATTGAGTGGGTGGTCCACAGAGTCAGCAAAATCTCTCACCCCTGAAGAAGTGACCCATGCATTTAATAAATGTGAGGCTATAACCGGGTTGATAGATGACAGATAAAAAGAGAGAAGGTGACCAGTTGAATCGAAAGGACCTGAATGGGGCAGAGGGTTTTTTTTGTTTGTTTGTTTTGTTTTTTAGACAGAGTCGCACTTTGTCACATTTGGTAGAGTGCCATGGTATCATAGCTCACAGCAATCTCAAACTCTTGGGCTCGAGTGATTCTCTTGCCTCAGCCTCCCAAGTAGCTGAGACTACAGGTGCCTGCCACAATGCCTGGCTACATTTTTTTTTTTCTTAGAGATAGGGTCTCACTCTAGCTCAGGCTGATCTCGAACTGGTGAGCTCAGGCAATCCACCCTCTGTGGCCTCCCAGAGTGCTGGTATTACAGGCGTGACACAGCCTGGGCAGAGGTTTTTTGTAAAGGAGAAATTGCTCAGAAGGGTCTTGGGGAACTAGAAGAATGTTGCTGGTGCCTCCCTTGTTGGGGCACGGGAGAATAAATAGCTTCTATTCGAAAGGACTACAGGGGAAGTGGTAACCTTAGGGGAAAGCCAGGTTTCAGTTCAGACTAGCAGGTGAGGGAGACTGACTAGGTCACTGGTTGCATGTAACAGAAACTAAATCTACTGACAAATAGGAAGTAGAGAACCGGGGAGTTAGGTGTCTCAGACAGTGAACAAAATGGTAGCCACAGGCACATCCTTACGGCTGAGGAGAGTGCTGTGAAGGTCTTTGTGAGCTAGGAAGATTTTCCAAAAAGTGTCCACTGTAAATAGTTCCATGAAAAAGTTGAGGATGTAGGGAATTTGTGTCCATGAGACACAAACAGAATGTTTAGTGGAGGAGAGAGAAGTAGAAGCAGAGAGTTAGAGTGTTCTATGGGTTCCAAATGGTGGTATCAGGAAGGGGGTGTCTATAATGGTAGCTCCAGGGGCCTACGAACATAGGGTGCTTGTCCCATCTGTCTTGAATTCCTATTTCCTTCCAGATACCTGTGTGCTCCCTCATTCATCGTTACCCATTGGATCTAAATTTCTGACCTCCTTTGCCTTAGCCCCTTTCTTTGGCCCAGAACATCTCTTAAATCTTTTTTTTTTTTTTTTTGAGACAAAGTCTTACTTGTTCACCCTCAGTAGAGTGTCGTGGCTTCACAGCTCACAGAAACCTCAAACTTTTGGGCTCAAGTGACTCTTGCCTCAGCCTCTGGAGTAGGTGGGATTATAGGCGCCCGCCATAACACCTGGCTATTTTTAGAGACAGGGTCTCGCCCTTGTTCAGGCTGGTTTTGAACTTCTGAGCTCAATCTACCTGCCTCAGCCTCCCAAGTGCTGGGATGACAGGCATGAGCCACCACACCTGGCCTCATCACTTAGATTCTCACAGTGCCACCAAGTCTTCTCCTGCCTCCCTAAGAAGCTGCACCCTAGATTGTTTCTTAACACTAATATCCCCTGTGCAGATCTGAGGTTGACACAGGCTGCTCTCCTGAGCCCTGTCTTTTTTGTTGTTTTTTGAGAGAGAGTCTTACTCTGTTGTTGCCTTGGGTAGAGAGCTGTTGGAATCATCATAGCTCACAGCAGCCTCAAACTCTTGGGCTCAAGTGATCATCCTGCCTCAGCTGGAGCAGGGACTATAAACATCTACTATGATGCCCAGCTAGTTTTTCTATTGTTAGTAGAGATGGGGTCTCGCTCCTGCTCAGGCTGATCTTGAAATTCTGAGGTCAAACAATCCACCCACCCCCGCCTCAGCCTCCTAGAGTACTAGGAGTACAGGCACGAGCCATTGCATCCGGCATCTACTGAGTCCTGTCAAACCCCTCCATCTTCTAACTTACCACATTATATTGTGATTATTTTTATGGGTCTCTTTTGTCTTCCAATCTATAAGTCTCTTCCTAGCATTTCTTGTTCTTATCGACAACCTTCCCCTCTAATGTGTAGCACATTGCTTGTGACCTAGACAGGGGTCAATTTGTTGAATGACTGAGTGAGTGGATGGATTTCGATCTCTTATCGCCTTACTCCCACAGCCTAGAAATGTTGAACTTTGGGAGGTGGCCTCCTGGCAAGACTTTCCCATTCTTGCCCACCTTTTTCTATGATTACTGACTTCCCGGCCTTGATTCCATGCGTGCCAGACACAGACCATCTGCCAGGATAGAAAAACCCAGCTTAAGAGACACCCTGTCCTGATTCTTGCTGGCTCCCTTTCCCAGCATCCTCCCAGGATGTGGGCCTGACACATACTGAGATGTCCATTTCCTAAAATGACATCTCCACCATCCCGGAAACTCAGATTAGGGCCAGGATCACCTGGTCCATTATTCCCTAGACTAATTCTTTTCCCACCTCTGATATCTCTGCCATTCCAGCAGAAGGGAAGCCTGGGATAAGTGTTCAGAAGGGCTGAGAATTCATAGGGCCATGCTCATCCCTTAAATTAGGAAAGTGATTACTTCTGTAAGAGGAGGGAGATGGGATGAGACCAGGGATAGGTGATGGGAGCTTCAACTGTACAGATGATATTTTATTTCTGAAGATGGGTACGTAAGCATTCATTAGTCCTTAAATCTTTCTGGAATCCTGAAACCATTTCAATAAAAAAGCTTAGAATGAGAGGTGCTCAGCTTTTACCTTAGTGGAATACCTGTAGGAGGACTGGCTGAAGGACTCTAAGGCTTAGGGGAATTAAATCAGCGTCCGGCAGAGAGAGGACAGAGAGGCAACAGAGGGCTTTGGGGCTCAGAGCCAACATCTTAGACCACAAGGCTGCATGCTCAGTTTGACCCTGAAAGCTTGTGAATCTATTGTGTTTACTGGTGAAAAGCCTCAAACTAGGCAATTCCCAGTTTATTAGTTTATTTGTTGGTCTGTTGTCTGGAACTGGGAATAAGGTTTCCTATAGAAACAATATTAGGAAAAGTGACTCTGCCCCAGGGCCAGCCCACAAAAGCTTACAGAATCCTGATGTACCTGAAATATTGTACTAATAATCTGAAAGATCCTAAACTATTTATATCAGTATTTCTGTGGGAAAGTGCATTTAGAGTTTTAATGCCAGTAACACCTATTCCTCAGCCCTGTGAGTCCTCTGGACTCTTGACCTTATTCCCACAGGGCTGATTCTTATCAGAATGGCTCCATATGCGGGGGAGGGCAGGGGAGTTGCTTTCTGTTGCTGCAGGATTCCAGCTGAAGTTTCAAGCAATTGGAGCTCAAGTTTCAAGCAATTCATCTCCCCTGAGCTGACCCCAGCCCCTACCGCGCAGTCTGGCCTGTGATCTAAGTTTAGCCTTTCAAGCACAACGCTGAGCCTCTAATACACACATGCCTTGCTCACCCTATCATAAGTCAATGCACCAACTCTGTCACATTAGGGATCTCATTTGTATGTCGCTGGGAGGTCAGGGAAGATGTCTAGGAGTGGGAGATGTGGAGACTAGTATGGTCCCTGAGACACTGGGAAGGGCAAGCTTTTAACAGGGGGGTAAAATAATCAAGAAGAGAATTCAGGCTGATGGTGGTTGGAATGAGTTTTGAAATGTGACTAAGGCTAAGACAACACTGGTGTTCTTGGCAAGGATAAGTATCCCTGAGTGTGATATAGAGACTCAAACACTGTCACTTGGAGAACTGAAAACTGAAAGTCTTACATGGCATTTTGGAGGCCTAAAAATAGAATTATCATATTTTTTCATAGACAAAATGTCTTCCATGTTGAATATGAAAGTAGTATTGTGGGGCGGCGCCTGTGGCTCAAAAGGGTAGGGTGTCGGCTCCATATGCTGGAGGTGGCAGGTTCAAACCCAGCCCCGGCCAAAAAAAAAAAAGAAAGTTGTATTGTAATTGGATGTAATTTTCATTACATCCAAAGGCCCAGCCTCACTGGTAAAGTATAGGGATGTGGGTGGTCCTGGTGGCCAGGAAAAGTGGTAAAGATTCAAGATTTGATCCTGGGAGAGCTGCAGAGGCCATTGAAGGAGAGTATGAGTCCCTGGGGCATTTGGAACCAGAGCATCTTTAGAGCAACTGGGGCGTAGAGCCCTAGTACCATACAGGCTTATTTTGGTAAAGTGCTGTGATTGAGAGAATACCTTCTCTCTACTGTATACAGTCTTGGTGGGACTATAAATCAAAGTTCTGGGCCAAGGGGCTAGGCAAATAGTCTCTCCTGGGACTTGACTCTTGCATGCCATGACCTAGACACTGAAAATATTGTTGGCACCTATTGTCCCAGCACCGTGCCCTCAAACTGCCAAGGATTTCCTGCCACCCAAAGTTATCCAAAGCTGTCCTACTTCTTGTCTTTCGCCGGGTAGATTCTTCAGCTTTCCCTTTAGTTCCATAAGTTATCTATCATCCTCCTAAAA